GTCACGAGGCGTCCGCCGTCGCTAAACGAGAAAGCAGGGGGCCGATCGAGCTCTGGCTTGCTGGAAATACCCAAGTGGACATGTATGAGTGAGTATGGTGGTCTAGAACAGCATTTCAGATCATTTGACAGCTTCTAGGGTTTCTACCTCGTTATGCCGTTTTATCTTCGAGTCACCCAAGGTCAATGACGCACTATTATTCATGACCATTCTTTCGACGGACCTCAAGGCCCTTAAACGGCGGGGATATAACGGTGCTTTTCAGCTACCACTTGTTATCCCCTTCTGGTGACTGACTTGTTGGTTATTATTAGTTGACAGGATTTTACGACAACAGAAGGCTGAGCGAGAAGCAGCTGAAAAGGCATTAAGGGCTGAAACAAGAGCTTCATTAATCTCGGACTCTTCAGAAATGACGCTGCAAGATACACAGACGAAGACTCCGACCACGCAAACGAAGATCCCGTCGACCCCAACCGGTGCAACGGCAGCAGCTCCGCCCCCACCATCAAGTACCGGAATCACTGGCCTTGATCAAATTTTGAAACGCCCACGCCCGATTTCAGCAATCAATGAACTTGGGCGATTTCTACGCCCTAATCGTTCAGATGCATCCTCGCCCCAACCAACTTCTCCTCCTAAGGGCGAAGACGTGTTGCCATCATCAAATTCGGTTCCCTCTACTGACCGGAGAGACGTCTCGCCGCCGCCTAAGGGGAATATACCCGGGGGGATGGCTCTGACGGCAAACCCAGGACCATCAAGAACACCCGTCCGTTCTCCTCAGGCGGGATCTCATGTCACTCCGCTAAGTAACATCAGTATGTTACACGGGTTTGATATATCATGGCATCATCTCATATTCATGTCCTGCTCTACCCAGCAAACAATATTGACATGGCCATCAAAGCATGCGCGCCTGAGAAGAGCAATCTACTCAGGAACCGGGAGGAGATGCAAGTAGTGAGGGAGTCGCTGGACGAGGGATACTGCGATGTTTCTGGTCGCACAGGGGACCTGGACTTTATCGGCACGTGTTCGGCTTCGTCGTGTGATTCACTTATCCTTAATGACACGGGATCGACAGGTTCCATGGGTGGTGTGAAGGTTTACGCGACGCAAGGTGGGATTCCCTCGCCAACTGAAGCAAGAAACTTACTACCAGGTTCTCTAATCGATTGTAGATCTCCCAGAGCGCAACTCGCTCTTTCAACGCAAGCGCGATGTAGTCGCCCGCTTCCTTCATGTCCTCAACCCCCTTGTATCCGTCTATAAGATTCCGAAGACGAGCTTGCACGTTTTCGCCGATAAGGAGGGGCAACTTGTTGCTTTCAATCGAAACGGAAGTTTATTCGTGAATTTACGATATTACGAAGCCTGGCGTACGTCCTGAGTTTCTATGCTTCTCCGATGCTCAAACTTGGTTTGGGGCCGCCAGACGACCGCGAAGTCCAACAAAATGATCTCACCAAAGCCTTGATCTCGTGGTCGGTGTGCCCAGTCATTCTCATTTTCCCTCTGGCTGATGGTATTTTTACTAGGTACTTCACCCTAGCGCATGAGATTGCCCACAATCTCGTTCATCCACACAATTCGGAACACGAGTTCTACTTCTCTGCCATTTGCGAGGCATATCTTGTGCCTCTAAGCAAGCTGTTGCCGGATTCATGACATGATACCTTATGAGATGGGAATATAGACAGCCGCACGACTGGACGGGGACTCAGATATATGTGTATGGTAACGACAAATGAAGGTCTTTCCCCTCCACCATCGACAGAAACGGAGAGCGTCGTCGGAAATATTTATTTGTCGGTGATCTTCAGTCAGAGAATCCACCAAAAGTGGTGACTGCGCATCATTCTACGCTCTCTCCAATGACGCGAATTGATAGAAGATAATCCAAAAAACTGCGAAAGTCATGCACGAAACCCAGTACAGTCTTCCCATCGATCTCGTCCCATCTCTAACGCCCCGACCGAATTCGCAAAGCGTATACGTTCACGAGAACATCTGCCCAAGCATCCCAAGTTGGGATTTCACTGTGCTGCGTTTCAGGAAACAACTGTATCCTCGTCCCGGCAGCACGTATTTAAGTCATGCGGTGTGTTTAGTTTCCGGGGAATAGCCTTTTCCAATTTCAAAACTTGGCGCGTGTTACATAATCAAATGATAGAGCACGTACGCGTCGCTCTTGAGCAGACGATAACCACCATGGAGTGTTCATTCGCGCTTACAGGAAAGGACTATGTTCTCATTGCTGCAGACACTACTGCAGCTCGTTCTATCGTGAAAATGAAAGTTGACGAGGACAAGATCAAAACTCTCAGTCCCCATCTTCTAATGGCCTACTCTGGAGAGTCAGGTTCGTCCACGCTCCACACCCCACGGCATGCAACCACGATCTCTCACCCGCATTTATTCGTGTAGGTGATACCATCCAATTTGCTGAATACATAGAACGCAATATCAGACTCTACCACATCCGTAACCTCTATCCACTCCGCCCACAGTCCGCCGCGGCGTGGATCCGTCAGTCTTTGGCAGAATCGCTACGCTCCCGCTCGCCTTACACAGTCAATCTCCTTATTGGTGGATTCGACACGGCAGACAAGTCGCCACACCTGTACTGGGCCGACTATCTCGGCACGATGGCCTCAGTGCCTTTTGCTGCCCATGGATATGGAAGCTATTTCGCACTCAGCTTATTAGACAGGTGAGTATTCCTTCTCCTGCAGTATTTCCCTCTTTGGCGTGATAGATATTGTCTCCCCCCTTCTCTCAAACGGCCCAAGTCCACTTTCTTCAGTGCTCAATCGTTGGCTAACTGAACGTTATACTTCAGGTACCACAACCCTGACGGTTCGTTGGAAGAAGGCCTTGACGTTCTTCGACGGGCAATAAATGAGACCGCTCAGCGTTTGGTTGTGTCCCCAGGAAACTATATCGTGAAGGTCGTCGATAACGACGGAGTACGGGAGATCAAGCTGTAGCTGTGTAACTGACTTACAAAGATAACATCGTTGATGCCTATGTCGTACACATGAGAAGCCTGTTTACCAAAAAATATCAATAAACATAGGTAATATGACCCACCACACTAACTCAAGGTTTTATGAGATATTACCTCGGCTGCGAGTACCAGCAAGCGAGATAACCCACGACGACGGTACCGGCAACTGTCTAGCTGTCGTTGGCCGACCTCATCACCCCTGGATCACATTCTTTTTGTTCTCCATCCGCTAGGCAATATCAGTAAATACCTCTAGTTCAGGGGTATCGACAGTATAAGAGGACAGCCGGTCAGTGACTGCTGAATACTAAACAAATATGGATCTCTCCAATTACAAGAAGCTCACTGTCAGTCGTGGACTCACTTACAATTACTACTACTCGAAGGCCGAGGAAGGCAAGCCTTATCTCACCTTTTTTCACGGTTTCCCATCTTCTTCCTGGGACTGGAAGAACCAGGTCGCGTACTTCAAAGCGAAGGGTTTTGGCCTCGTTGTCCCCGACCTGCTGGGCTATGGCGATACTGACAAGCCCCTTGACCCCAAGAAATACGTCCCATCGGGGATGGCTCAGGACGTAATCGACATCCTAGATACCGAAGGGATCGAGAAAGCGGTTGCTATTGGCCATGACTGGTGAGCTTTTAGCATTTCGTGGGCGAACCAACCCTGTAAATTCACATCTAGGGGTTCGCGTGTTGTCTCTCGTCTTGCCAACGACAAGCCCGAGCGATTCTCTGGTTTCGCCTTTATTACTGTTGGCTATATCCCGCCGCTCCCAGATTCGGACCCTGTAAAGACTGTCGATAGCTTTCAAGCGCTCGTTGGTCGGGAGGTGCTTGGGTACTGGACCTTCTTCTTTGAGGAGGACGCCCCCCAGATCATCGAGAATCACGTCTGTAAATCTTATTTCTTGATCGACCTTTGACTCACCCCTTCTTTTCTCTCCCTACTCCAGTTTGATTCGTTCTTCAGCTTATTCTTCCCACACGACCCCATGCTCTGGAAAGATCATGTCAGTGTGCGGGGTGCCACCAAGGCATGGCTCGAGGCTGACCGCCAGGCCCCACTTCCGTCCTACCTCACCCCAGAGGTTCGCGTTCTCTGTCTCATCTTCAGCACCCTTTGAATGCAGCTAACACTGAGCCCAGGACAAGGAGCACTATCGCAAGGTACTCATCTCCGGTGGTCTCGCTGGGCCTCTCCAATGGTACTACGCCATGTACACTGGCGCAATCGCTGAGGATGACAAGCGTAGGAATCTCCCCAGCTTGGCATCGTTTGCCGTTGCTCACTATTTTCGCCAGTCGTACCACCGGAGAGAATCCCGATTCACAAGCCAGTCTACTTTGGAGCGTGCACCAAGGACCAGGTCTGCCTCTCGACCCTCCACGGGGCTGCTTTCAAGTCCCTTGCCAAGGGTCCTTTCACCCTTAAGGAGTTTGACACGGATCACTGGCCCATCCTGTCGCACCCTGATGAAGTGAACAGCTCCCTGCACAAATGGATCGACACCCTGTAGCTCACCGTCTCATGACAGATAGGGATAGGTTTGAAGCCTGTAATGAATAAATGTTATGCCGCGCTGAATTGAAGTCGTTGTGCCATTATTAAGGCCCCTACACACCCGTGGCCGTTGACTGCTGACTGCCGTAATCCTTACCCCCGAAATACGTGTATTTCCGAGTTTGCGTAGTGCTCATGCCTGCCAGAGCCTTCATCAAGTTGTCACCCCAGATTTATTAGCTGAACTCTACTTCATAATTGTAATAAATACGTTATAGAGATTGAGCAATGCGTGCCTTTGCGCGACCGAATAGTAGGGACACTGACACTTCACTCATTTGCCTGTACAACCTGCCTCGTCCCGATTCTCCCATTTGAGATCCTGTTATCGCACTGTTGTGTAAATAAGACATGTCTCCTTGTGCTTGGGAAATGTACAGTACTGTAAACCATATTACTCGATGTCGAAGTAGAAAAAGGATCGGGCCCAACAGGGGTTCGAACCCTGGACCGCTCGCAAGCGTTGAGAAAACCCAAAGCGAGCATCGTACCACTAGACCATTGGGCCACAAATGATGGCAATGTTCGTGATTATGTGACCCCGCGCTTTACCAGAAAGGTAGGGGAGATCGGCGCATCGGCGTGTTAGCGCCACTCGTTCACTGGCAAAGTATGAGGTTGTGAACGTCGAAATGGACAAGTTTAAGGCCCTCGAACCGGTCAAACTCCACCAGGATTCAAAAAGTGACACACAAAGATATGGACCCAGATTTCTTTCGACTCCTCATATTGGAAAACTTCCATCCTCGCTGCACTTGGCCATTCTGCAGTACATCCCAGTACCGGATGTCCCGGCATACGCGCGTACAAATCGTGCCCTCGCTCGCCTCGCTGCCTCAGAAGAGCTGTGGGAGCACCACTACTCTCTTTTAGGCATCGACCGATATGGGTTTGGGCCCGTACTGGATGAACTGGAGAGTCGAACGCGCAAGGACGCGCCGCTACAGCCTCCCACACTTACAGTTGACGTTGCGGACGATGACTTTGGGGACTTCTCGTCTGGTTCGGACACCTTTGGTTTGGGTTTTGGGGGGATTCCGACACAAAGCGGATTCTCTACCTTCCCAGCCGAAGTCGGGAACTTTATTGGCAGCAGCACAGTAATGCAGGGCACCAATATCCTCGGCGCTACCTCATTCCGCGCTCTCTACATACGTGCGCATAAACTTCTGAGAAACCTTGCCCCGGCGTTGCTTGAACCTCCCCACCAGATTCTCTCCTCCCTCTTCCCACCCACGATAGCATCGGCCCCTTCCCTCACCTTGTTACACCGCTCCAAGACGCTCCATCTTCTCCACCAATTCCATTCCCTTCTTCAACCCCTCCGATCGTCACCGTCCCTGCTGTCCGCCCTTCGTGCTGCCTCTGACCGGTTCGACGCTACCCTGCTCAGCGCCTTCGATGTTGCGGATAGCCGGGCCGATGAGGCAGGCATGCGCGACGCCGCTGAAGCGAGTTGGGAAATCTGGGATCCGCACGAAATCGGAAGCGGGGCAGTCGCGGAATGGGAAATGGGGCGCGTGTGGGGCGAGAAACGGGAAATTTTCTATGTCTCGACTGGGCACAAACCCCTTGACAATTTCACGTATGTTCTGCACTCGCTTTCTACGTTGCATGGAGCTGCAGAATAACGGCAAACAGTGCAGACGACACTTTGAACTTCGAACCTATGGATGCTTTCATGGCCTTCGTGCTACACGCACTTCGGGAGCATGGCTCCCGCGCTGTACGCGTCTTCCCTCCTGCCGCAGGGGTACTCGTAGCATTTGCGGATCGCGTTTCGATGGAAGTCGTACGTTGATTATACCTCGTGTCTGGCCCACCCGCCTACTTAGTTCGGGTTCTCGTAGGTCGCTGAATATATCACACCCCTTCTCACGCACGCTCGCTCTCTCACGAACAGCGCCATATTCTTGAGAGCAACTGCTGCCTGTTTTCGGGAAGCATGGCGCATCGTGGATACCATTCACGAAATTGCCGGCCAGCGGCATCCGCCTGGCACGGAAGCAGAAGTCAGCAAGGCGCAGGCAGAAGACGTAGTGTGCGTGTTTCCCCATCCGCCTTCATTCCGAGTATACGTTGTGTCTCTTTGTGACTTCTGATGCGTGTTACGATCGATCCGATGCTCATATCTCGAATTTTGCTCCACTTGACAGGTATCGGATGTTCGAACCCAACATGGACGAGTACCTCGATGAAGAGATAGATTTCCTGAAGCAAAATTTCGAACAGACCTGCCGAGATTGGGAGAAAAAGGTATGGTCTATTCCAACCCGCCCATCATTCCCAGTCTCCTGAGCTCATCTTAGACGATCGATACACGCAGACGAGTCTTCCTCATACTGATGCGCCGCCGCCGATAACGACCCAACGGCCTACGTTCCTTGCTTCTTCTTCACCTGCCAATCTTAAGAGCAACGTTCTTTCGACTTTCACTAACCTCCTTCTCATTCCGGTTTCCACTATCCCACGCACCGTCGAGACCGTCTCGGGTGCTGCCGTCCACGGCATTTCAATGCTCGACCCGCGGCGGTGGGGCGGAACAGGACAAGCGAACGGAATTGGTGAGAGAGAGGGATACACCAAGGGAACGGACAGCACAAATGTCGTACTCTGGGAGGATGAAGATCATCCTGACGACACTAGCGTACAGGGCGACGAGACGGCAATATCCGCAAGTACCTCCTCTCCACAACCTCCGCCAGTATATTCCTACGACAAACTTCAACTCCTTCTCTCCCTTGACCTCACTCTCGAGCTGATTCATGCCGCGCGGGAGTCACTCAAGCGTTTAGAGATCTTTGTCAATTACCCTAGGACTTACGGCATCCGAGTTAGGGAGACGGTTGAAGAGGTGGCAAGTGAGCTACTGGGCGTGCTTGGAGAACGACATGTGCGGAATGGATTTGAAGCGTGCGTTGTCGTGTTGTCAGCAAGTTTACGTTCATCTCACTCGTACAATCCCAGGGCCATCACACAAATGCGAGCATATCAACCTCCAGCGATGTCTGATACGGCCTCGGACACGGAGAAACTAGGTCCGGCATCGACATCTGTTGCGCCACTGGTCCAATTTTTCGAGCTTGTTCATATCGGAGATATGATCCAGAGCATCGTGCAAGTCTACTTTGATAAAGAACTGGTACGTTCCAAGCCCCTCCCTTCGCCGCATCAGCATTAAACCCCGCTCAATTCCGCGGTGATAGGCCCCGCACGTCGATGTTACAGACTTTCTGAACCCGGTAGTCAGAGAAAAGAAGCGCTTCGAGAACCTGCTCGACGATTCGGTCGCAAAGGGATTGAATGCTGGCATCGAGGTTCTCATGAACCAGGTTAGCATTTTCGGGATCTGCCCTTGAACAGCCAGCTGGAGACAACTACAGGTAGATCACATCATCACGGCTCTTACACCCCCGCGGACCTACTACCCGCCAGAAGAAGCTCCCCTCCTGCTCGGACCTTCAAAAGGTTGCACGGAAGCAATAAAATGTCTCGAGGAGCACATAAGACTTCTTCAGGGGAATGTCAACAGAGAAGTTCTCGAGGTGTTTGAGGGCGAGGTTGGCATGAGGCTGATCGGGTAACAAGCCAGAAACTCGTTCCTTTGATTGCGGTTAACGCCTCATCTTTGAATTTCAGGATTTTGCAAAAACAAATCAAACGCCAGATAATTTCGCTGAACGGAGGGTTTCAGGTTATTGCTGATCTGAACGCTTACCACACCTTCATTTCCTCGCTCAAGGTCCGTTTGATGTTCGTCTGACATGTTCTCTCTTTTGACACGTTTCCCTGCAGATCCAGTCGCTGACGTCTGACTTTGCTAACCTCAAAATGCTGGGCCATGTGTTCATTGTGGAAGATGCCAAGGACCTCGCGCAAATCGTTCGTGACGTGACTCGCTATGGGGGAGCATATCGGCCCGAGGTGAGCCGATCACGTTCGACGACTTATGACGATGCACGCCCATCTCCACTGACAGGACATTTATGAATTCATACAACGGCGAAGTGACTGGAAAAAGATTGAGAAAGTCGTTGATAAGACAATGTACAATCTGAACCTTAGAGAAGACTGTGTCATCGTCTGACCTACCACGCCTCATCACGAGAGCCATTAATTGTCACTCCCCTCAGGCTTCGCCCCAAATCCCTCCGATGGACAGCCGAATTGCAGATCTGGTGGGGGACTCAGGGGCACCAGTTCGCGCGGGAATTAGTGGACCATTAAGTACCTGTCAGCTGCCTTCGGCGTCATTTCTCGGCGCCTAGTCGGCCTGTAATTAATCGCTTCTTTTGAGTCATTGGATCCCAGGTGGTGTCTCCAGCCATACGGTGGTTACAGAAGCAGCATCAGGAAGGTGAATCACGCCATCGTGTGGACACTTTGCCTGGAAGCTTTACCAGGGCTCCTAGGTTTCCCTTGTCCCACGGGAACTTGCGATCATATCATGGCATCAGACTCGGGCTCAGACTCGTGTCCCACGAGACTGCCGGCCAGCGATTGACGAGTCAACGGCGATCTCGGATTCAAAGGGCCTGGCCGCAAGGAGGTGTGCCCGTGACAGACGCAGGTCGTCGTTGTCGCAAAGGACAGAAAGACCGAGTTGGGAAAGATCCGATCCCCATGATATCTTGCGTGCAAAGCTGGATATGGACCTGGAGGGACCCCGTGTGAGTCCCCACTGATGCGGGTGTGCGGGTGTGCAGACCCAATCCAGGCTCCTTCCCATGCTACGCTGGGGTGTGTGAAGGTTAAAAGGTTTCAAGGGGCACACCTCCCGGATCGGGACCCAATACAGTACGTAAGTCGGTGTGAAAGAAGCAGCTCGACATACCGATTATGTCCGTCCCAATCCAGAAAGTGTGCATTTGAAAATCCTCTTGCCTTGCAAGGGACCGAGGGGAGCCCCCGTCCCGCTTGAGGTGTCCCAGCGCCCTCCTATCGATTGACCTCGCCTCGTTGTAGCCCGAGTTGATGGACCGCAATATATGCCAATGTGAAACAAGAACAAGTGGTAATCTGTGGCGGACAGTTGGCCTGGCGGTTAGAATAGGAGTTGGGACATGCACCCACCACTACTTTTCGCTCATGCTTGTGCATGGCTTACACGATGTTCAAGCACCCCATGTACTAGGTATTCCGCCTGGACGAGCGGCTCCACCAACAGTGTCAATTTTAATTGGCTCGAGTGGACAAAGCCTACAGTTGTAGTCCTTCATCTTATGTAACGCAGAGACCTCGTTGGTTGAACCATTCTTTCCGGAAGATGGGTCCGATGAGGATCGGCGCATGTGAAGTGGCGTGTCCGGTGATGCCGCGAGAATGACCTCGCCTGAATACTGTAGATATACAATGCGGCATCCGAAACTGGATAAATGTCCTAATTCTATCGTGGCTGTGTGTAACCGCGATGGTTTTTCCTCTGCGATTACGGGCGCGAGGAACTGGTGCGTGCGACGGCGCGGGCGGAAGATAAGGACTTGATCAAGCACTCTAGGACTAGAAGCA